TATTTTATTCACGTTTTTTTTTTGTTTTTTTTTTTTATTTTTGCGCCTAAGCATGCTTTTTTTTACGTTTTTAACACTTTGTAATGCTTTGTTACGCTTTTTCTTTAACTATGAAATAATTTTTAGATTAATTTAAAATTTTAAAATAATATTAAAATAAGAAAATATTTTTTATGCATTTTTACGTCTAGACCGATGCTTGGCTTTTATACTTCGCCATCTTTTACATATTTTAGGATGCTGATTTTTTGTTGAAATTGAGTTTTTTAAGCCCTTTTTCAGTAAAGATTAAAATCAAAATCTAAGTCAAAGTTAAAGTTAAAGTTGATAATTAATTTTAATCACGTAATTCACTGTATCCATAATTTTTCAACAACACTTTTCATCAACATTTATCAAAATCTGTTAAAAATTTGATTTTAATCTCACCAGACAAGGGGCTAATAGTATTTTTCGGATAATATGTGGTTAAAAATAAATAATTTTTTATTTACATATAAAATTATTACATTGGGGGAGTGTATGATTAAAATGATTCGAAAAAAAATAATTTTTTTAAAAAACGAGGTTCAAAGAAGGATTAATAGTGCCCATAGTTGGGCTACATTAAAATTAGTTTTAAGGGAAAAATATTTTTTAAAATAGTGATTTTTTTGGAGAATGTTTGGTTAAAAAATAATTAAAAGTTTTTTTTTGTTTACGTATAATATTTTATTTAAAATGTGTGATTGAAAGAAAGAAATAACGAAAATGCATCAAAATTAAAATTAAAATAAAGCCCAAAAGGGGGCATAATGCAGCAATGCATTAAAGCGGGGTTCTAAATTTGACCACACGGGCGATTCTTCCCTCATCCGCATAGCAAACCAATGAAGTGACGCGTGGATGACAAATGGCAACGAGTTTGAATAATTTCATAACAATCTTGCTACGTGCACATCTCTCTTTATATTTTGACTTATCGAATTTACACTTGTCACAAACTTACACCACTTTCACATCTCAAACATTTGGTCCAACAATTATAAAATAGCCATATCATCCGTCTGTCAACCAAATGATAAAGAAAGGCGTACAAATAGCTTTATCTATTTCACAAACCATGAGAGTACGGTCCTTTGTTTTCAATGACCGCAGTACTACCATGAATAGAGCATCTCTCAAGGGAAAAATAATTAAACTAATCAAGCTATTTGTATAGAAATTGATAGAATTGTCCGTGGATAAAGACTAGACTGTTAGCGCCTAACCCGCAATTACATGTGGCGCATCAAATGTTTTTTCATGCCACTTGGAACACAAAATAGCACCAATTTGTGTGCAAATAGATTATGAGAATTAAAATTTGATTTTTAGCAGATTTTGATAAATTTGATGAAATATTTGATTAAAAAATCGTTAGTATCATAAAATACGTGGTTAGAATTTATTGTTTACTTTAACTTTGATAAAAATTTAAATTTTAACTTCTATTAAACGAGGCTATATTGGTCCGTTTGATTTTAATAAACATTTATATTTAGTGGATTTGATAAAATATATGAAATTTATAATTTTAAAATTAATAAAAATTGTGGATCCCATAAAATGTACAGATAAAAACGAATTTAAAAAAAAATAAAAATTTAAGAAATGAATGCAAACACAAGCATAATTTATGGTTACATTTTTTTTTTTTTAGCATAAAATTCATAGCTAACTCTAACTTAACTTTGGCGGCTAAATGGGTCCAGTATAATTAATCAGGGAACGTTTGATGCAGGTTTTTCTGATAATAAATTTTGCAAGAAATGTATGGTTAAAAAGTAGAAAAATGTTATGAACTCACTCTATAAAAAATATATGATTGAAAATAATTTAGGAAAACTAACGAGTTTTTAAAGAATTCGTACCAAATAGAGAGGGTGTTTGGTAGAGATTAAAATTGGATTAAAATTGAAAAATTAGCCGTTATTGTTGACTTTTATTAGAAGAATGAGATCCAATAACGACTATATTTTCAATTTTAATTGGATTTTGAGCCGTATCAAACAGGCCTTTAATCCTCTAGCCCATGAACTTGATGTCGACAACTTAGAAAGTTACCCCACACATTTTTTTAATATCTTCTTAACCAATATCTTGTGGTAAAACTTTAAAAAATAAAATAAAATAAAATATAATGCCAGACTGTTTGATTCTTGGAGTATATATACCTTGTAGATACTTATATAGAATCTGTGATCTTTCTCGAGGATGTTGGCGACCATATGTTTCCGTAGGGAAATTATCAATTCATCGGATGCTTGGGCAATCCATGTCTTAATTTGTGCTTAGGTGAACTTCTAAGTCATTTTTTTACTAATATTTATATTGTCGGAACTAAGCAACAACGATTTATGCACTGCTAATCTTTCTAGCCAAATTGGGTTCGAGGTTTCTATCTATTTTTTAATGTTTAGGTGCACCAATAATTAATCAAACGTATGATCTTGACAAAAGTTTTTAGTTTGATGTCTCCAGTGTACGTACCTACTTATGTTTTGACATACGATCATAGCAAAAGGATTTTGGTTTGACAATATTTGTTGAAAGTGAATATGCGTAACTTGCACATGATCAGATGATCTCTTGAGCCCCCTATAATTTTTTCGAGAGAAATCATGTCAGGTTAACATGTATTACGTCCTCTGTAGCATAGCATATCTAAACATCGTCAATCAAAATCACTACAATAATAAAGTGACATTAAAAATAGTTGAATCGCGTACAAAATTAGTTCCCGTTTGATACAAATTTTTTAAAAACCCGTATTCAATCATACATTTTATCAAGTGACAACACATCATTAGACAGTTTAAATTTTACACAGTTTTTTTACCCATTCAACACTTGTCAACATTGACAATGTCAACTATCATGTCAAAAAAAGAGTGTACAATAGACATTTTTCAATAGATATATAGCTTACAACTATCACTGTGAAGTGAAAAAAAAATAAAAATAAAAGAAATGTAATTACATTTCCTTATTCACCATGTCAATGCTATCTACCATTCATGTCATCTGTTCCCATTAAATGATAAGCAATGATGTAATCATTATTACTACTCACAGAAAATCTCTGCAAAAAGCAAATAACAATTAACCAAAATCACCAAATGCTAGGACCACCCTATTTTCATCAATCTTTTGGGGCGTTGTGAACTATGAAACAACGAAAATACACCAAAAAAATGGTGCAATATCTTCAATGCAGCACCAAACTCTGCACCATTTCGGTTCAAATTAGTGCAAAGTCAATTTTACACTTTATTTTAATTTTCCAAACAAATTGATTTAAGGGTATTTGTATCATTCGTATCATATATTTTTTAATACAATAAATTAGTATTATTATAATTATCATTATGTGCATTTATAATAAATTTCAATAATGTGAAAAATAATAGTTAATGAATTAATTAAAATAAGAATACAAAAAATTTAAAATATAATCAAACGATTAGTAATGAATTTAATATTTTCGTTAATTTAACGTAATTATTTATTTAGTAATTTATGTAATTGTAAAACAAATAAATCAATAATTTTTCAAATAAAAAAATAGTTAAGAATAAAAAAATGAAGAAAATAATTAAACAATGTTCATTTGACGTAAGTTTTAAGTGCAAATGCTGGATATGATTTTTAGCTTGGTGCGAGATTTGGTCTAAGATGGTACAAAATTTACCTCAAATTTTGGTGAAGGGTTGGAGATGGCCTAAGCCTGTGTTTGCCTCTCAATCTTAAAATTCATTTTTCTATGTAATTATTTTCAACTACGCATTGATACAATAAAATATTTAACACTTAAATTCAAAAAATTTCTCTACTTTTTAACCACACATTCTTTAAAAATTCAATATTCAAAACAATATTTTTCAAAAAAACTTAAAAAATTAAAAATAAAAAAAAAAATTTTAAAAAAAAAAAAAAAAAAGGCCACCAAACAGTGGCTAAGCTCCTCTTTGACATTCATGAAAAGAAGTTTTTTTTTTTTATTTTTTTTTGAAGAAAATAAGTTTTGAAATAGTGATTTTTAGTGAATGTGTGATTTAAAAAATAGAAAAATGTTATAAATTTACATGCAAAATATTTTATTGTGTGAATGTGTGGTGGAAAATAAATTTGAGAAAAAAGAGTTTTGATTTAGTGGATGTCAAACTGATGCTAAATGATAAGATAGCCTAAAAAACCGAAGAATCCTAATTCCCCCTATATGTCACGCGTTTTCTATTTAAAAATTAATTTTTACATGTCTAAATGAATAGATGAAATTAAAACTTAAAATATAATTAGATGATAATGTCAAATTCGTACCCGACACGTTTTTTAGAACATTGCCATGGACGTCAATTGTTCTTTTTGTTTCAACTTACACGCTTAGATTAATTGAATGTATATTTTTGACAATCTAGATGATAAAATAAGTGCATTACGGATATTTTAAGCCATATCATGATTTTTGTTTTCGAAAGACGGTAATAGACGGAAGTGCATAAATTGACATGAAAATGAAAGTGTGTACGTTTCTCTCTCTAGGTGGCCTAAACCATCCTCTTTCTCTCTCCACAACATTCTCCACGCTCTATAAATTGTATCACTGCTATAGTAACAGTGTACAACAATTTCTCTTTCTATCTCTACATATCTTCTCCTCTTGGGTTCTCTCTCAGTAAAATATTGTTAATAATAAAGAGAAAAAGTTGTGCTCTGTTTTTGCCTCCCCTCCCCTTTCCCTTTTCTTGATTTTCTCAGTTCACTATCATTCAGTGGACATCTTTTAGAGTTTATACTCATCCCATCAGGTAAATATCTGGTTTTTTTTTTTAATCCCTTTGAAAATACATAAAATTCCCTTTTGATCCAATAAACTTAAGTTTAATTTTCTTCCATTTTCAGTGACCCAAAAAGAAGGAAAAGGATTTTATTTTTTATTTTTCACGTAGTTTGATTGCGACTTGCGAGAGGTTTTGATCATGGCGGTGGTGGAAAATGCTGGTGCTAACGTGGCCAATCGGGCCGACCCGGATGCCCCAAAAAATGAAGCCGCTGTGGATCATCACCATCACCACCAGCAGTCTTCCGTTAATGAGAAGTCAACGAAACCGGCCGACCAAAATTTCCATCTGATGGTTCAGAAAATATCTCCTCAACAATCCAACGGTCAGCTGTACAGTATAAATGGAAATGGAGTGTCAAAGGCTAATATTACTAGCAGTAATAACCAGAGTCATAAGAAAATGAACGGTGAAGATGATGGGAGTGAGGGGTTTAAAAGAGAGATGAGGGATTTGGAGGAAATGCTGTCAAAATTGAACCCGATGGCCCAGGAATTTGTGCCGCCATCACTTGGGGCGGGGTACCATGGTCTGGCTGTGTCGCTGCCACAAGCCTCAGGGCACTTTGTGTATGATGCTAATGGTTTTTTAATTCAGCAACATGTCAACTCTGGAGTTCCAAATGGGAATTCTATTAGGAGGGTTGGTATTTCATCTGATATCCTTTCCGTTTTGTTGTTGTTCTTTTTGTGTTTTATTAATGTTGATAAGAAAAATGAAAAAAATTAATGGATGAATATATTTATTTCCCTGTCCTTTTGATATCTTAATGAAGTTTATTTTTGAGGATAAAAGAGGGCATTTGATTAAAGGAAGGGATGTGATTTTATCCATGGTTTTGGTGTTGTAATGCAATGTGCAGAAGAACAGTGGCTATAGTAATGGGAAGCGGAGGATAAATAGCCGAACAAATATGGCACAGCGGGAAGAGGTTATTAGGAGGACTGTGTATGTATCAGATATTGATCATCAGGTAAAGAGACTTTAGAGATGTTGGTACTTTGGTTTGTTTCAGTAATGGTTAGCATGTTCAACATCGACTTTCTTGTTATGAATGTAGGTTACTGAAGAGGAACTTGCAGCGCTCTTCATTGGTTGTGGGCAGGTACAACACCTTTCCACATACTTGCTGTGTAGAACTCTATTTATGCAGACTTAACATTATATTCTAAACGTCTTATCCAAATTGTTGGTGCCAAAGGTTGTTGATTGTCGTGTTACACCACTGGGTTTGAGACATGAAGGTTTTGCCTTCATTGAATTCACTGACGAGGGTATGTAATTCAAAGTGATGGTTTGGTTGTGTGGCAAACCTTTGGGTTGATTACACTGCATTGTTTTCCATTTGCAGAAGGTGCAAGAAATGCTTTGAGCTTGGCAGGAACTATGCTTGGATATTATCCAGTTAGAGTGCTGCCTTCAAAAACTGCGATTGCACCTGTTAACCCTACCTTCTTGCCACGGGTGACTTATTCATTAGTCGTTGCCTTCTTTAGTTTCTTATGACACATGTTATTTAAACTTGAATTGTTTCAAAGACTAAGCTGATACGAATATTTGTTTTCTTTGCTATGATATTAGTCTGAAGATGAAAGGAAGATGTGTGCAAGAACTATTTACTGTACAAACATTGACAAAAAGGTAGCTTTGGGATTTGTAATCTTTTCCTGTTAACGAGCATTTATTGGGCCACATGTGGTTATCATTTATTATATTTTTGTATGATGCAGATTACTCAAGCGGATATCAAACTCTTTTTTGAATCCATTTGTGGAGAGGTTTGTAGCTGCTCACATAACAACTTAGAAGAAATCTTTCCTTTGAATCCTTACTTCATATGGAATATGTTATCTGCCATAGGTTTTACGCTTGAGGTTGCTTGGCGACTATATTCATTCGACTCGTATAGCTTTCGTGGAGTTTGTAATGGTAAGTACCATAGGCTTCTCCCTCATTTTCTGTGAAATATGTTTCTGCTTAAGGATGTCTTACTCAAAACAGTCTCTTATATTCGCATGATTATGAATCAATTCTGCTTAGGTTCTTTTTGCTGATCATATATGATTCGGTTATCAGTCTTCTCAATTAATTGTTAAGATTTTTTTATTTTGGCATTGATATTAGAAGTTATTGATGATTTCATGTTCTTACTAATGGCTCCTTGTAAGTGCCTGTCCCGGTCAGAAATTCTTTATGGATGCTTAATTTTATTATGTTTACAAATGGGGTTCTGGAGCCGATCTCAAGCTCAAGCTAATTCTATTTCCTTTCTGGCACTTTATAGATAGAAACAGTTTTCTTGGATTAATGTCGAGTTGCTCATATTCTAATATGCTTATTTAGACACTGAACCTAATATCAATTATATTTAAACAAAAACTTTTACTTAGGCAATGGTAAAAGACGTATAATTTCATTAATTTGTCCCTCTAGTATTGGTACTAGTAAAAAATTGAACCACTCACATTTGCTTACATCCTTCTATCGTATTTCCAATCATTGCATATCCATCTTGCTGTCAGGTTTTGGTTTCCACTTATGTTTTTCAGCTCCTCTCTGAACTCAATTTTCCTCTTTCTATCCTCAAAGCTTGTTTCCCTACTCTATGTTACTCAACTGTATATTTTTCATTTAAAGCAGTCTTTTCTCATCAATAAAAGCCATTGGAGAAATGAAGGTTCACGTATTTCACCAATTTGTTTCTAGAAAAGATGACCTTTTGGCTAGTTATGTTTAAACTTTGTGCAAATTCACTGGCCAACTATAAAAGGAAATAACTTCAGTCGCATCTCCTCCCAATCAGCGTTGGATCCTATTGTTAAATTAAGCCCCCGTTTGATCCCTATTTTTGGGGGTAAAATGTATTATGGAATAGTGACTTTTTGGAGAATGTGTGGTTAAAAAATGAAAAAAAGTTTTTTAAATACGTGTATAATTATTTTATGGGAGAATGTGTGGTTGAAAATGAATTTTGAAAAAATGTATTCTTGAAAAAATGGGGCTCAAACGGAGCTAAATACACTATACATAAATATATTTCACGGTTGACATGTTACTATAAAGTCACCCTTTCAGGTAATATTACTCGTGACTATTATTCACTCTTCTGACAAATCCCAGCATTGTTACTTATATTAATTTTATTTGAGGTGGAAACCTAACAGGAAAAATCTACCCCTAAATATTTCTCTCTTCTAACATGAAAAATCTACCCCTAATGAAGTCATTCTTTTACTATCAAAATAAAGAAAATTACTAGTAAGCTTACATGTTTTCTTTGAGTGTGGACGTGTTACGAAGAGGTGCCAATTAATGAATAATTATGCATGGTTTATTCTGTTAAAATGCACTTATTTGCTTTGCTAGAAGGGATTAAGTCGGCAGCAAATTTTTCCTTGACGAATCACAATAAATATTACTCTTTATTAAGATTTTATCTTTGTGAAAATGTTCTATAAATTATGTGTATGGTGTGAGTAATATGAACACTTTAAACACCTAGGAAAAGAACAAAACGTGAAGCATATTTAACTTTAAGTTTCACATCTATAATGAATTTGTATATAGCTGATACAATTGCTTTTGACTTTAAGTGCTATCGTAGTTTCAACTTGTGGTATCATAGGAAGCTAGGGAACTAGAGTCTTCAGGATCGAGTAGTTTGCCCATTGAAAGTACCATTATTTTCCTCACAAACATAGTCTAGGTCAGTTTTAGACTGATTTCCGTGATTTGCCTTGTTTCAATCATTATTTCCTCCAATTTACAAGATTCTCTCATATTTATTGCATTTAAAAAGTGCACCAATAAGAAAATTTATATCACTTACAGTTGATATTTGGAAATGAATTTAAATATTCATTTTGGCTAATAATTCATAATATGTTCTTATGTCTGAGTGAAATACCTTTTTCCAAAAGATTCAAATTAAGTGAATTGAAAGGACGAGTTGAATACAGTGAGAAGGGTAAAAGGGGATGATTTGGATCTTGACTTCCTGATTTCTTGGTCTATGTTTGTTGGATCTACCGTCATCTTAATTTTCTTAGTGAAATCTTGCATTTTAAACAGTGCATATGGATCAACATTAGTTCAAGGCGCTGCTATTGTTTCAGAAAGGTTTACTTTCAGTTAATATTGTTTTTGTAAACATGCATTTAGAGACTGTATTTTATGTACACGTGGAGACTTGAACCACTAAAGCAAACCCATTTACTTCCATTCGAGAACTTTATCACTTGCTTTTGGTGTTTAACCGTTGCTTATTCTCTCATCACAGTGATTGACGTCATCTCTTCTGCCTTTCATTATGTTAATGCTAGATAGTTCTGCCATTTTTCATGAAATGAAAATACTGTTTGTAAGACATTCACTTAATTATATTTTTCATCAACCAACACAAGACTGTTTGTTTACTTGGTAAATTTATCATCATCCAGTTGTTGATTTTGAAAAGTTGATAGTAATGCACTTAATTGTTGTTTACTGACCTTTTCCAGTTCCCATTATTTTCAGTTCTCTTACTGAATTCTGATTTTTCTGAACTTACTCAGATCTGGGTTAATTTCAGTCTCGGAGTGGACTGATTGAAGTAATTTCTAATATGCTTCGTATTCATGGTATATGATAATGTGTTTCTTGTTATGTCTCTGGCTGGACATTCAGATTCCTCACCTAAGTTTCAGATCTTATGATAAGTAAAACTTTGCCTTGGCATCAGTAACCTTGACTTTTGAGTCTCTGTCATTGACATCATAAAATGACCATTCTCCTCAGACCTTTTTATTGTAAAGTTAGAAAAGACGACGAAAAATGTATCACTATTTTCTTCAATTCTTTAGTCTTTGATGCGAATCAATAATTCATTCAAAATCATTATAGACTACATAAAAATGTTCCTTTATGTTTTGGATGTGTTTGGATTTATATTTCAACTAAAATATTTTTTCTTTGGCAGGCTGAGAGTGCAATTGCAGCTCTGAACTGCAGCGGTGCAGTCTTGGGATCACTCCCAATAAGGTTGGCTTCTCTATACCCTTGCGTTGTTATGAATTACATCTGAGCCCGAGAGCGATGCAATCAAAATAGAAAGTAGAAGCTCACACATGCAGGCATAGATTTATAGTGTTTCACTCGTCCACTTGCTGCTGTAGGTTTTCGCGAAGAATAAAAAAAAGAAGTTTACGTTGGAGATCTCACACCTATCTCTGTATAATCTTACGGAGAACATGCCCCCTTAGATTCTGTTATACAGTGAGGAAACTAGGGCAGCTTATTACAGAAAATGGATGCCAATATATATATATACACACACACACATTGGAATGTGGAGCCTAATTATACTGTTCACTTTTCCTCTTGACCATGATCGACCTAATCTCTTTAATATTTGCACTTTTGCAGGGTAAGCCCATCAAAGACCCCTGTTCGACCTCGTGCACCTCGTCAAGCCATTCACTGAACTGTTTGCTGATTTCCCCTTAAGCTGATCTGCTGATATTATATATCTATATATACATATCTATATATACATAGGTAGATACTATGCTGGTACTTTGTGGCATTTATGTTTTTGGGATTTTTACCTTGCATCTCGGCTGAGTCTGTCACTTGCAGAGGATATTTATGGCTGTTTGTTTAGCTTGTAGAGTTGTCCTTTTCTTGAGGCTTAACTTGACTTATGTTGCACACCATGTCAGAAATCTGTAGGCAGTGCCTTGAAGTACTAATACCATTTCATGTTTCTAACTTGGAAGAAAGGTTTATTTTGCAAATTGTTCCAGTCTTTACCGGCCGATCATTAATTATTTTCTCCTTCTAAGGGTTTTCTGCCATGCTTTTTATTGCGTTTGTTGAATATAATTGGTGGCATGGTTCATTTGTGGAGTTTTAAACAGGAAAACGCTATCTGTGATCTAGATGATTATTGGTCTATATGATGGTGGCATCACTGTCCGTTGTACAATGAAGTTTGTTTGCATTTTTAGACCTTTGATAATGTGGCAGCGACCCCACTGCCATATAAATCGATGATCATCTAGACTCGATGAATATCATTTGGTATTTTTTGTGATTTGTTCACAATTATATGGAAAAATTTATAGCAATGTTTTTTAATAACGTGGTGGTGAAATCTATTCGGACTATTATTTTACACTACCTATTGAAAATTTGTGAAACTTTTCATATTTGAATGGTAAGTGTTCTAATTGTGACGTTGGAGTTCTTATCATCGATTGTTTTTAAAGAATTTTAACTCTTCGTTTGGATTGCTAGATTTCTTGATATTTGAGATGTGTTGGACAAGGTTGTGTGTTTTTTTGACTGAATTAAAAGTGTTGTTTAGAAACGACTTTGTGTTATTGGCGCCTCTTAACCAGATGTTGCCACGTGTTGTGATCTGCAAACTTGGAATTCCGACGGTCTGGTAGCTTCCCATAAATGCATCTTTTACTCCACTTTTAGCCGTTCTTTGACTCCGTTTAAAATAAAATAATTTATTTCTCTTACTTATTTTCAACTAAATATTAACACAATAAATTATTTTGTACCTAAATTCAAAATTATTTTCTACTTTTTAATCACACTCCCCAAAAAATTACAATTTAAAACATCATTTTACACAATAATGACCATCAAACAAGGCAGTCGAAACTTGAAATAGGAATTTTTCTGGAGTTGATCTTTGAATATTTGGGTAAACTGAGGAAGATTTTATATTGAACAATCTATCTTGTTTAATTTCTGAGTTTCCTAGTTACAGCTTTGTAAATCTTGGTTGTAACTCTGTAAAACTTTCGATTTTATGCTTATACTGCGAGCGTTTTTCGTTGGTAAAAGCTCGATGAGAACGTAAAAGTTTTATTTCGAAACATCATGAAACAAATCTTCTCATTTTTAAGTTCCTGCTTAAATTTAGATGTCATCCTTGATTAATGCCTTTTTGGGGCTTTCAAGATAATACTTTCCATACAAGGCCAAGGGTAAGTTTCTTTACCTAAAGGAGCAACTTCGATTGGAATTAAAGAGTCGAGGCTCCAATTGAACTAGACATGTCAAAATATGCCCAGTAGGGACCCATGACTCGCTTTGTGCTGGACCTAAGCTTGCATGTCTAAGAAAAATCCTTCAAATTTAAAGACTCGATGTGTAAATCAAAATAAAAATGTAAAAGCAATTTTCATAGTAGCTAGTATTAAAATGAGAGTTAAGATTGAGACGCGTAAAAAATAATCTTTAGATCACAAAATTTTACTATTCGTTTTTTAAAGTTGATTGCAAATCTCTTTTTCAAAAGAAATTACAAAGTGGAGTAGTAGTTTTTTGGTAAAAGGCAAGATCTTTGTCGCCTCAAAAGTCACAATTGTGTTACCCATTGTCCTCCCATCTGATAACGACATTCTTCCTTCCTTAGTGGAGGACCCCAACACCACCTACAACAACCTAAGCACTTGCTATTTAAAAACGTTGTTATATATTTGTCTGAATTGAACCAACTGAACCTTTTGTCCCTACACCTAAACCATATAATGTCTACTGAACCTCAGGTACAGTTCTTTTAGGATCATTTCTTCTTTTTCTACTATTTTGGGACATCATTTTTCTGCACTACTAATAATATCCATCAAAAAATATGAAGAAAAATAACTCGACTCGACACCTTATGAAGCTGTTATGTTTTAAGAAAGAAATACATTTCATGGTCTTTTATAAAATTAATTTCACTAATCGAAATACTATTTATAGACATACGAGACATCTAAGTTTATATGTATAAAAAAGAACATAAAATATTGTGCTGGCATCTTTTTGAGAGAAAAAAATTCTCCCCTTCTCTTGGAAGGTGAAATATAATATAATATATTCATAGACAGGCTAAGGTTGGTTTATAACTACTATGGACTCACCAGAAACACAAAGATATTACCAAAAAATATATTTAAAAAAAAAAAAAAAGAATTGCAAAATAGATGATTTATAAAGGCAGGACAGTTTGCAAGATATATACCTTTCAATAAAGATTTTTATCATATTATAAAATCTTCCAACAATGCTTGGTGGGGCCATTTTTACAACACTCACAATATGGTGGGGCCCACTATTAGTATTGTAAAAAGAAAAATGCTAGACGACCCGCATGGATGACCGTGGGGATGACCGCGCCCTCACAGCAGAGGCACGGGTTCCACCCGAATAAAATAATCCCAACCCCTCATGTGTGTGTGTGCGATCACTGGCGCGGTCATTCCTGCGGTTCCTCTAGCAGAGAAGGACCGTTCTATGGTGTGGACGTGTGGCCAATTGCCCAAATGGGACGAAAATCTCACGTGCGATTTTGAAATAAAGATTCTTTAATTGAATATCGACCGAACAAGAAAAGTATAAATTTTTAAGGGAAAAATCACACGTAGAATAAAGATGAAACCATATACTAACTTATAAGGATTTGAATTACTCCTTTTAATAATGTTGTCATTTTAATATGGAACCCCAAACATTAATATGGTATCGAGTCCATTAAATTTCAACGAGCAATTCAATTTGATTAAAACTCAAAAAATGAGCACACGAATTTAAAAATTAGTTTACTTGAACATGCCACCATTCAATTAAAACTCAAAAAATAAGCACGAGAATTTTAAGATCGATTTACTTGAACGAGGCACCATCTTGTAAGGGATAAATCCTACATTGAATGAAGATGAAAATATAGATCAATTTATAAAGGTTTGAGTTACTCCTATAGTCCTATTAACGTTCTTAACTTTTTGAGATGGAATTCCAAGTACTAATATAAATTACAAGAGCTTCTACGAATACAGCACAATGATGAGCGTTGCCTATGCGCAACTATCCTCTAAACCGACCCTTGTTGCATGCGTGTTGACAAACACAATAAAATCTTTACTACTTTCTTTCATTAAAGTTCAAATCCTCATTGGCTGGCCTTTAAAAAAATATTGTGTCTTTTTCATCACTAAAAACAACTATCTTTACTCTTCTTGTATATAATCTTACATTTCCTCTTTGCATTCAAGAAATCTCTTGCAGCATAATTTTCTTACAGCTCTTCATCTCTAGTTTGATTCAGAAGGGACTCGACTCTAGACAAGTGAAGTCGTTACAAAGTGCTTAAATTTTTAAGGGCGTCCGTATTAGTTTTCGGCCTTGTTTTTTTGCTCTGCACCCCCAAATTTCTTGAATCGTCTTTGAGTTTTGTTATCGTCGTTCTTGTTTTTCTTCTAAGCACGATAATATATGGGAAATTCTCTCTCTTTTGGCGGGCTCGATATAAGTTCGTGTGTCAGATTAGGCAGAGGAAGAAACAACAGATTTTTCAAGGTAGAGAGACCGGATAGCACTGGATCTCCTCTGTTGAATCTGGTTCCAATTGGAACTCTGCCTACAGCAGCTGCGCCACCACCAGTCGTGGCTGAAGCTGAGCCAGCGGCTGCAGTCAAGAGGATTAAAGTGGTCATTACAAAGCATCAGCTTCAGGAGTTACTATCAAAGAAAATATCAGTTGAAGCAGTTATCCTAGGAATGGATAGATCGTGTAATTCAGTTGATTCTCAGACAAGTTGGAAGCCTATTCTTAAATCCATTCCTGAAGAAAATGAGTTGTGCTAGGGAAGTTGTAATGACATTAAACTGACTCTGAATTTCGAACGCATTTTTTCTGCAAATTAAGTTAGAATCCGTTTGGCGTCATTAAACATATAACCAGTTGGTATTATTTTGTTTACTGGTTTTGATAGAATCAGTTTGGCGTCATTAAACATATAACAAGTTGGTATTATTTTGTTTACTGGTTTTGTTTCTTGTCAGCTTTTCTAGGATGAATTAGAGTTTGATGTGTCCTTCAATACATTTTTGAACAGTGATTTGATGGAGAATGTATGGTTAAAAAATAAGGAAAAATTTTTGGTTTGCGTATAATAATTTTTGACTGAAGAATGTATGGTTTAAAATAAGAGAGAGAAAAATGTATTTTGAAAATAATGGGTACCAAACAAGGGCTTAGTATTGATGAAAACTAAAAGCACGTACGAGCAGTGCTAGACATGACGAGTTTTGCTACACAAACATAATGGTTGACATAGGGAATGACACAATATACACACGGGGGAGGTCGACATTATTTAATTCAGGTTGGGACCCACATACAATGTGAGATGTCGGTCAACCCCTATGTCAAGCATTATGTTCATTTAACTTAATTCAAATCTCTATAAAGACACAACTACAGAAGGAAGCAAACTAATCCATGTTTGTTTCGGATTAAAATCAGATTTTAATCCAAGTCAAAGTCAAACAATCAATATTAACAACATTTTTCATGCGTCCTACAACTATTCAACCATACATTTCAAAAATTTCTATCACGATCTACTAAAAAATTAATTTAAAGAATAAATCCAAGTGTACAACCTTGGTTGACAACAATGGTTAACAACCATGTGTTGTCAAAATCTTGTCATGTGATGTAGAAAACAATTTTTTAAAATAAATGGATATAATAATGTCAAATAAGATGTTGTCATCTAATGTTGTCAACAAATATTGTACATGTAGCAAGATTCGCGCTGCAATAACTTAACCTAATTCCCCAAGTATTCGTCCCCCATATATAGCCATGTACAAGTAAAAGGTAAAGTTCCACATTCTCCAGTCTCTAGCCTAATCTCTCTCCTACACCCATTCCTCTCGTCTGATGATTTTGGTGCCTAACATACATGAGACAAGATACTGAATTGGACTTTCAGTTCAGCAAGCAAATTTTATTGCAGTCTGTTGTAAAAAATATAATTTTGAATTTCAAAATAATACCTTATTAATTTTCAGTTTTCTTTTTAATTTCAGTTTTATTACATGATTAAAACTAATATTTTTATAGTGTAAATTATATTTTAATTGAATTAATTTTCATTATTGTGGGGGTTGATTTTTATTTTACTCTAAAAAAGGGATGGAAAATTTCATAGTTCGATGCTGCACCTCTGTTTGGTTGGCATTTTTGTGAAGAGAATGCATTTTTTTTATTGATGTGATGGGGAATATGCGATTGAAAAAGAAGGAAAAGTTATTGATGTGATGAAAAATATTATTTTATTGAAAAATGTGTGGTTGAAAATAAGTAGAAGAATGATAATGAAAAATATAATGTGCCTCATACAGGGAACATTTAAAATTCTCCATATATATTTTATATTCTATTATTTTAACAACTTGACAAATGCTCGTTCTTTATCTCACCGTGGTCATGTTTATAGAAGGAGAACTGACTACGAGCTATATGAATTTTATCTTGAAGTCATGTAGTGTTAAAAGTACCACACGAAAAGGAGGCAATACGACTTTAACTCCATTCTTATGTTTATTTTATATTATTTTCTAATATTTATGTTATTGTTGAATTACGTTATTTTAATTAAGGGATAATTGCAAAAAAAAGTCGCAAACCTTTGAAACACTAACAAACTTTTTCCAAACCTTTGATTTGTTGCAACCGTCACCCAAACATTTTCAAACGTTGTAGGTGAGGTCCTTTTGAATGGTTTCCGTCAAAAATGCCGTCAATTGACCCAAAAAATTAAAGTTTGACCATTTTTGACCAATTAAATCAGGGTAAAATTGTAACTTTATAATATTACCATATAAAATATAATTCAAAAAATTTAAAAAAAATAAAAAAAGGAAAAGAAAAATACTGTTTTATCTTCTATCAAACCCCCCACCCCCTCCCCACACATCGCTTACTTGCAGCATCTCCTAATGAAACTTTTTTTTTTTTTTTTGCTGTGGGTTGTTTTAATAATTATTTGTGGGCTTTTTTGTTTATGGGTTGTTTGGAGTTTGAATTTTAGTGGTGCCCGACGGGTTGCAACAGTTGGGAGAAGATAAACAATATTTGCCTTTTCCTTTTTTTTTTTTTTTTTTTTTTTTAATTTTTGAATTATATTTTATATGATAATATTATAAAGTTACCATTTTTAGTGATAAAGTGGTAAAAAATGGTCAAACCTTAATTTTTTGGATCAACTAACGGCATCTTTGACGAAAACCATCCAAAAGGGTTTCATCTACAGCGTTTGAAAATGTTAGGGGTGACGGCTCAACAAATCAAATGTTTTGGGAGAGTATGCTAGTGTTTCAAAGGTTTGGGGGCTTTTGCTGCAATTATCACTTCAATTAATAATCTACAACACACAATCACTAGTTCCCCCAAACAGTGTCTTCCTCTCTAATCTCTCCACTTGTGAATTCCCAACAGTATTGGTTTTATGCCACTAGGACTGAAATCCACCCGTCTTTGGTGATCTAGGGTAGAGCTCCGGTCACCTACCTTAGAGAGCCAACCAATCCACTTCGGCTTTAGTCTGTGCCAATCCCGTCATAAGTATATACGAAGAGTATACTTTTCTTACCAGTGTTCCAAAATGCGTCCCAATCAATGTGCTCGGTAACAAAACATGAAAATATAGAAAAATGAATCATGAAATGGAGCCGTTGAGGTCATAGAAGTGATGGTCATCGGTGCCAGAATGAAAGACTCAGGGGCAGGGCATTCAATCAATGTAGTGTGCATTTTATAAACACCAAGCATAGTAAACTGTAGAGATGCAGCGACACAAAAAGAGAGATGTACATGGTAAGATTATATCCTAGCTACTTGTATAGTTGCATCATTTACGTAAAAAATGCAACGCAATGCTCCTGCACATACACAGAGAGTATATGGACTGACACCTTTCGTGAGCCAAACAAAGATTGCCAAGCTTTATGAAATAAAGATTGTAATTCAACTGAAAGAACAGAAAGCAAAGGGAATATAACATTTTGTGTATCGGAAAAACCTTTAGCAGCAGGCCACAATTAATGAACACCATAATGTCGTGGATAATAAAACCATAGAGATTACAGAACCTTTATCTAATAGTAAAAAGAGCCGAGAAAAGAAGAGGTATACATGTTTTCAATGTATGCAGAGAACAGAGGCTTACTCATTGATGTCGAAACAGTCTAATATCCAATAGAGTGAATGTTTGGCCTTAACACAGTATCACAATTCAAATTCATCATCAAGCTCGAGTGCCTCAGCAGCAGCTTCCTCTTCTTCATCATCAATAGCTAAATAAGGGTTATGCATTTTAGGCCTAAAATTATACCCAGTAAACACATAAAACCCAAGAGTGGCTAATTCAGCAGCCACCACACCAGTCCACTGATACTTATACGATGTTATAGACTCCAACGCATAAACTATCACCCTCGTAAAGTAGATATAACAAATAACCACAACATAGTACTGCCTAAACAACGTCAACTTCATCAAATTCACTGCGGCCTTCCCATCCGTCCTGGCAGCCTCTCTCAACTTCTTAATCGACCATACTATAGGGAACAGAACTGCACAACAGCAGATAATATCCACTAGCAAGAAAACTTTCTTCCAAGTATACAAATTTTCGCCATAAGGTCCAGCCTCATCAATCACAACTTGAGCTATATTCGACACCACTTGCAACGGAATTACCACAATTAAAACCTTCTTCTCTTTATCTTGCAAATAAGGTTTAAGAAACGACCATCCAGTTCCTATCAAAACTATCAAAGTGAACAGTGTAATACCCTTCAAAAAGCTAAATATATAAAACAAAACATCCCACCCATGAGCACTTCCAGATCTCTTGATGTAAGACTTATCCTCAGCCTCGAATAATAAATTAAATGCCTTCAAAATCAAGACCGCGAGCATAAAAAAGTGGATTCTGTGAACAGATAAACGCTTTTTATAAAGGGTATAAATCCAAACAGTCCCTAAGAATAAATATATTAAGAAAAACATGAAGTAAATTGAAGGGAGAGAAGTTTTCCCTGCCGATAAAAAATCGAAAGTTTTTGTTTTGGAGTTAAAATTGTACATTACGGAATGAACATTCATGGAAACTTTCAAATTCGGTATACAATTGGCAAAAACCAGAGTGAGCAGATTAGATTCAGATACTTTGATTGAACGACTCAAACTTCTGGTCGGGTTCTGGAGGTGGTTGAAAGTTAAAACGGGTGTGATGGAACTGGATTGGAGGGAGCATTGAATTTCACCTTTTTGAAGCTGCTCGAGTACGTGCAACCATGAATCCTGAGAACAGAGGAAGAACCCGATATTAGCGAGATCAGGTTCAGGTGGCAATAAAGAAATATCGGTGACAGTGAGGTTCAGGTAGCCGGAATGAGTGAATCCGAATTCATCGAAAGGGATGGTGGATCGCGAGTCAAAGCGGATCTCCGAGAATCGGATCTCGGCACGGGTCGTGTAGAGGAAAAATGTGAAGATGAGAGGGAGTACAAAAAGGAATTTCATTGATTTAGGTTGAGTGAAGAAAAAATGGCTATGGCGCATGAAAAATGTTTATGGTTTTGGGGTTTTATGATCAAGCGCCGACAGGACATTAATGGAGGGAAGCAAAAGTCAAGAACGTTCAATTTACGTGGGAAAATTGGAATGGAGATCCACAAATAATTGAATTGGTAAAAAATCGGTCATCTTTTTCTATATTGGATATTTTAGTATGGATCTCATGAGTCCACGTCAACATCATCTTCATCGAGTTTTATCTAACCTCGCATCCCATAAAAGTGCGTTTGATTGCGAGTGTGAAATTTGTATCGAAAGAAAATAAATTTTAGCCAATTCAATTATCTATAATTTATTTGTATGGAAATTATTAATTAAATGTAGTTTTCAATTTAGAAAATATCATATTTGCTAATTTTTTATTGGTGGGTAGATAAAAGAGAGAAAGAAAGAGTGAATTACCTAGAAAATAAAAATCATTCCTTAATAAATAAAATATTTTACATGGAAAAAAATTATCTATCAAACACCCTAAAAGTAGGATTTTAAATGAAAAAAAATGATATTTTTCATGAAAAATAAAGTCAATCAAACACACTCTAAGTTTGATTATTTATCAACTGAAATAAGAAAATATAAATAAGTTTAATAAAAAAAATAAATAAAAAGTTGAGAAACAATTACTCAATTGTGATTCTCAATCTTTCTTACTTGCTTGTCTGTCCTGTATTTTCCACCAATAACTTCCCTTGTGATCCTTTTTTTTATATTTTGATTTGTTCTCTTCCATTGTCACTTCTTGTTTTAGCCCTCCTAACTTATTGCACTCGTCACATTGGGATCTAGGGACTATAAATATAAAATATAAAAATTAGAGACCAAAATTTCTAGAAAAAAAAAAAAGGTTCAGAGCAAAATTGCTGTAACAACTTTAGATTAAGGACCTACGATGAAAATTTCCCAATCTAGCCAAACGTTACGGCAACGCTAGATTCTCGTGCCTAACATAATTAAATGCTTCTAGTTGACTTCATTATAAGTTTAATATAATATTTGCATTTTCTTTTATACTCGTAGTAAGTTGATACTGAGATTAAGAGCACGTTTGAGAATGGTTAAAATTCAATTAAAATTGAAAATATAGCCTTTATTGAATTTTACTTATCTAATAAAAGTCAACAGTAACGACTAATTTTTCAATTTTAATTTAATTTCAATCTCTACCGAACACGTCTTAAAGATTTTAATGACATAAAAATTGTAATTATAGTTTATTTTTTAAACAATTTTGTTAATAAATAGATAGGAAAATAATTTTATATTCAAATTATTTGTTGTAAAACATCCTACTATATAAAATGTCATAAAATATTTTTTTAAAAGTTCTTTTTATACAATAGTCTTGTACAAACCATATTGAGAATAACACAGTCAAAGAAATCATTTACGATCATTATTAATAAAACAATAAATTAAAATAATTAAAAGAAAAATAGTTTTCTTATTTCGATTTATAGGGATGTGGAAAAAATCGGCCGTAAATCATATTTTTGTTGCTTATTCTTGAACAAGCAGAGTTGTGAGTTAAATATTTTATTCTAAGGGTTAATTTCACAAACGGTCACTGAAGTTACCTGAAAATCACAAAACGGTCAATGAAGTTTAAAACTTACAGAAACGATCACTGAAGTTTATTTTTCTTTCACAAACGGTCACTAAATTTTCAGATTTTTTGGGCAAGTTTTACGACAATTTTCCGACAACTTCCGACCACCAAGACCGCCAGATTTGGATACCGTTGGAAAGCCCACAATGTCCTCTTCAATTTCCACCAAAAATCTCCCCATAACTCCAATGGATTCGGCAGAAATATACCCACTAAGTCGGCTACCCAAAAATCTGAAAATCTGCCCAAATTTTCAATTTTTTTTGGGCGAGTATGCGGCAATTTTTTTGCAATTTCCGACAACTAAATCCAGTTTTGGATACCATTGGAAAGCCCACAATGTCGTCTTCAATTACCAAGAAAAATCTCCCCATAATTCTAACGGATTCGGCAGGAATAAACCCACGAAGTCAGCTACCTAAATTGGGCAAATTTTCAGAATTTTTTGGTAGCTAACTTCGTGAGTTTATTTCGGTCGAATCCCTTGAAGTTATGGGGAGCGTTTTGGTGTAATTGAAAAGAACATTGTGGGCTTTCCAATGGTATTCGAAACTGGCTTTATTGGCGGTCGGAAGTTGCCGGAAAATTACCGCAAACTCGTGCAAAAAATCTGAAAATCTGGTTTAGATTTTTTTGGTATCTGACTTCGTGAGTTTATTCCGGCCGAATCCCTTGAAGTTATGGGGAGCCTTTTGGTGTAATTGAAAAAAACATCGTGGGCTTTCCAATGGTATTCGAAACTGACTTTATTGGTGGTCAGAAGTTGCTGGAAAATTACCGCAAACTCATGCAAAAAATCTGAAAATCTGTGCAGATTTTCAAATTTTTCGGTAGCCGATTTCGTGAGTTTATTTCGGCATAATCCCTTGGAGTTATGGGAAGAATTTTTGTTGTAATTGAAGAGGACATTGTGGGCTTTCTAATGGTATTAAAATTCGGCAGTCTTGGTGGTCGGAAGTTGTAGCAAAATTTACCCAAAAAATCTGAAAATTCAGTGATCGTTTGTGAAAGAAATTTAAATTTCAGTGATTGTTTCTGTAAGTTTTAAACTTCGGTGACCGTTTTATAATTTTCAGGTAACTTCAAAAGCGTTTGTGAAATTAACCCTTTATTCTAAAGTTCCTAAATTTGTTGGTCTAATTTTTTATTCTTTATTTTTAATTAAAATATATACATGGATTCAATTGACTTACTTTTCCAAACTTTTCTAAGAAAGAGAATTTGGTCAAAAACACTATGCACCCACGTGATAATAAAGGGTACACACATTTTTCTACACGGAAGCATAAATGGGCTATTTGATTTTGATGGTGTCCTCGATTTGGACTATTTGACTTCAATTTACGCGTTAAATAATTTAATTATAAGTTAAAAACTATTCAAACCGAACAATTTATATTTATTTTATCCCATCTTCTCAGTGTCTAGTCCACCTTGCTATCCTCACCATCATTGGTCCCTCATCCCAGTCCACAATACAAGATCAAAAATTTATGCCCAAAAATTATTGCACTCTTACACTAAAAAAAGAAAGGGAACAATGCAACGTTGTGAATTTCAGTTTCAAATTACTGTTTGATCGACTTTTGTTTTAGTTTTAACCACTTTGTGTACTAAATAACGGAATTGTAAACATGGTAACTAAAAAATATGACCTGAAAAATTCATCAATACGTTAATATGGACAAAAACTTGTTTTTTTGAACTAATTGACAATTGTGCTTTCAAAAAAACACTTTTTTTGCCTAGCTAGAAATCAAAACTAGCGGATTTTCCATATTACATCATATTTTTCATTAACCACGTCGATGTTTTTTTTTTTATGTCAGCGAACAGAGTTAGACGGGTACTGAAGCTGAAACATAAGTAACACTTGAGTGACTAATTCATAACAGAAAAAAGGTCCCGGTGCAAAGCCAAAAACACTACAAGGGGCGACTAACAATGAATTTAACCTTCTGATTTACTAATTACTAGAACTTCTTCGCAGAAAATTGCCTTTGGATCACTCGTTTGAAGAAGGCTTATATATTGCATTCTGGGTAAGGAAGAATTGCAGAGTAATTTTCTGTCATGTTTTGATGAAGAAACTCAATTCTGGGATTCAGAAGAGCAGCGGAAAGCACTGGATTTTATGGATATTGCTATAAAATGTACTGAATTCATGGCTAATAATAGGCCTTCCATGAGAGAAGTTGTGGGGATCAAGTGTAAATAATACGGGAAACAAAGAGTAACTTTCTCTTTGTAATTCATAGACACGACTAAGGGTTTGTTTGAGCCCCATTTTTTGTATAAAATGCATTTTGAAATAGTAGATTCATGGAGAATGTGTTAAAAAACAAGGAAAAGTTTTGCATTTGCATGTAATATTACTTTTTCGAAGAATGTGTGGTTGAAAAGAAGAGAGAAAAATGTATTTTGAAAAAAAAATTGGGAATCAAACAAGAACTTAATGCTTTCATTCTTTACAATGTTTATAATCATAGCTTGACATGGCATGTTTGATAAATGAAGTAAATATGCGTCAGTCATATTTAATATCACTTCAAATTTAAAAACTTCGTGGAAACTTTCACTATAGGAATTGACAGTCTTTCTTTTGGTCATTTTCTCTATCAGGAGGAGAGTGTTGTTCGATAAGTTCCCTTCTGTCTCTAGTTTCTTAAACAATTTCGCACCAGGAGCATGGGCCTCTGCCAAGACAATCCAACCCGGCCCAGCTCGTTTGAGACCTCTGCCAAAGCCAAGAAAAGCTCAAGTTGCCATTTTAGAAAAAGAGAACTAGACGTTCCCGAAGCAGACATATTTAGTTAATTCCCTCGTACCAGACGTGCAGAAGATATTCAAGCAAAGTCTACTTTGTATAAGCATAATGTTCTTCTTAGCCATCAGGGTACAACATCAGATAGTTTTAACTTCAACTTCATGTTACCAGCCATAACTACTATTTCTCCTCTAGATGGCTCCACTTTTAGAACAGTTGCTTTCTTGTTTAGGGAAGGAACATTCACCATATCACCAATAGAGGGTGGCCCACGCTTCTTTTCTGCAATGGATAAAGGCGAAAATAACGAAACTACAAGGATCAGTGTGGATTTCTAAGCAGAAACACAAACACGAACACGATTCACATCAAGTATACTACCTGCAACTGATTGCGTTGCATTATTCAATGACTCTGCGGTCCCAATTGCTGCAGAAGGTTCATTTTCTTCCGGGCTTGTAGAATGGTCATTAATTGTCGAATTATGCCTGCTGTTTTCAGCAGTCATAAACTCTGTAGGTTGATTAGGAAATGAGCGATATATTCGCAGTTTCTTGTGAAGAATGGAACGTGCCGCAGCTGCTGCCTCAGATACTTCTTGCATCATCCTGTATCTTTCTTCAATGCCGTGTTCCACTATTTTCTTTCTGGTCACCAGTAGTTTGTGATGAAGATTCTTTGAGAGCCTGAATGCCACAAAGAAAAAAAGGAATTGTCAAATTGTCCCTTCGATTGCTATATTGGTAAAAAGGATTTAGGTTCAATTTTCAATTCTGTAAAAGATGAAAGTAAGGTTATATATATATATATATTTATTTTTTTTCGTAATTGAACCTCAATCCTCAAGTATAATTTGTTGAGCAAAAAATTCTCACATCAGATTGTGTCGTGCTTCGTGAACCTTTTTGTGAAAGTTCTGCTTGGATCTTTCCATGTCAACTATGATCTGCAGTTATTAACCAGTGCAGAATGCATTAGGCAAACTAAACAACAAATTTGCCACCAACGACATAAACATTTACACGCACACCAGAAAGCAGATGGAACCTCCAACATTTACTGCATCATTTGACTATAAGAAATGTCTCATCATTGTTACTTGGTAAATACCAAGGTTGAATAACATCTGTGAACGTATAATACTAAGTCCCATTGGTATATTGAACTGCAGCGTAAACGAGTATAAATTTGAGGTAGACTTGTGGCTAGGGATGGTAAAACCGGTCATACAGAGAAATTTGCCACCAACCCCGGCCCAGCCCACTCCTCCGTAGGCAGGCCATTATGGGCCTCCCAGACCTGCCTAATTGACACCACTAGTTGCCGTAGGTTAATTAAAACAATGTTATCACATTTGCATGCAAACTACCATAACAAGAGTATGAAAACCTTCTTCCAAGTCCTGAATATATAAAATCAAACCTTCAACAAAAAAGTTGAGAATTTATCCTCATCATCTTTATCTTAATTAGCTGTGGACGAGTAAATGCAATTACCTCGTTAATTTCGGCACTAGCTGCTCCATAAAGTTCACGAGCATCATCCAGAATCTCATTTGGTATCCCAAGTCTTTCAGCAATATTAATTGCATTTGAACGTCCTGCGGTAGAAAATAATTTAATATTACGCTTCTACCGGGAGATATTTGTCAAAGAGAGTCCGGAAACAAAAAAGTTCCTATTGGAGGTTCTGCTGATTATTACCACTCATTATTGTATAGTCAGCAGACTAATCAAATCAAACTTATTGCAAAGAACTTCAAGTTAAACCAAGAGTCCATATTTGACAAAAGAAAGTTATAACCTGGTATTCCCCAAAGAATTCTATAAGTTGGCTTCAAGTTCACTTCATCAAACTCCATGCACGCATTTTCAAAGGCATCATTGCTGTCACAATTAAATTAATGAAACCTAATGTTAGAAAAGGTAAAATCACATGGCCTATATAGATGTTCCATCTTTACATCAGCTACCTGTATTTTAGCGTTTTAAGCTCTCCGTGATGTGTGGAAGCAATTGTTAGTAAGGCTCCAGTTTCTGCAAAAGATTCCAGCAAAGACATCCCAAGTGCAGCTCCTTCTAGTGGATTTGTCCCTGCACCTACCTGGAAATATTGCAAGGGATATCACCCGATAAATATTCTAATATCACCAGTCTTTTATTAACACTTTCCATTCTTCTATTCCGGCAAAAACTTGCAGACCTATTTCTCACTATATTGAGCGAGTGAACCAATGATATTTGTGACATTAAGCATCAAAGGATATATGAGAAAAAGTATTAGCCAAACATATTCTTCGGCTCCAAAAGAATCTAAGCCCTTGTTTGACAGCTTTTTGAGATTATAAGCTGGTAGGTCCGATAAAAGTTGTGGGTCCAATGAAATGTGTTTTTAAACATGGGCTAAATATAAATAGATCACATACTTCATCTAATAGCACTAATGACAGGTCAGTTGAGTGGGACTTGATTTCCTGCAAAGTTCAGCAAAGGAAACGTAAAATATGTTACCATAAGAGAGAGGAGCAGCACAAATTTGTGCAACTCATTGCAGAATGAAATTGAACGAAAATCGGCATACATCAATGGTAATGGTCATGCAATAAAATTGTATATGCCCCACACTTGAGTGGAAAGAGCACAGGTATAAATTCGATAATACTTTTTTAAATCAACTACAACATTTAATTTGCAAAAAGAGTTTTTGCAGCTAATGCAGTTGCAAAGATTCTCAGAAATCAAGGAAAATTGCATAGACCAAAAACATATCATAGATAATCCATTGATCACAAGTTTATAACAATAAAAGCTCACCTTGACGATGGGGAACGAACATAGAACCACAAAAATATTCATATGCCTATCAAAAAAACATATAAATAGCAGAAGTCCAAAGATAATCTAAATGAATGCACGGAATTATCTGTCCATGCTACAATTGCTGACATAAAACTCTCCAATCCACTTATGTCCATGTAACCTACGGTATATATCCCATTTATGAAGAAGCCAGATAAAATTGATTGGTTAGGCTGTGCAAAAGCAAGTTTCTTAGAATGTTCTCAAGAATTGCAAATAACAGGCATTCATTAGGACATCAGACTGCAGTCAACATGCTTGATCCAATATCTTCTGCAGAGAATATGTCATATCAAAGTCCATACAATGCACAACTCTAGGAATGAGGTGATTTTTTATTTAGTGCGAGTATCATACTGTCTCTATGGCTTTAGAGAAATATAATTGCATAGACCACCTTCTCAATTTGGATACGACTCATAAATATATAGAAAAATTTGTCTCTTTTACAAATACCAAGCTATGTAATCTAATCATGTTTTAATCATAATGGATCATGTTACCAACATACACTAATTTGTTTCAGATGGCCAGAAAAGGTAGATAAAGATTGAGATAGGGACTGTTCATCGCCAATGTCTGCAAATACAGAATCAAACCATGGGATCTTTACTGGTTCTGAAGTTAACACATAGAGACCTGCAATAATTAAAAAAATAAAAATACAAAGAGATTATTCAATAGAATAATTCTAAGCGATATAAAACAACTAAAATATATACTTCTAAAATTCTTCCCACTATTGGGTACAAGCAAAACAGAAGAAGCATATTCACCACTATTGCTAAGAAATAACCAGTAATCAATTCAAAATGTAAAACCAAGGGACATTTTTTTCATGGAACCAGATGGCAGGTTACAGTCAGGGGTTTTACTTAATCCCCTCTCCTTTAAATATGCTAAAATCCTATCTTAACCTAAGTCACATAGATCAACTCTTGTGCACCTCAAGCCACAATGCGGGAGATCAGTCCAAAGCATGCCAAATACAGATTTTAGTCAAATGGGATATGCTAATATTATCATAAAGCAAGTATCCTCGGCATATTATCACAAGTGAGAGTAACATCATCTACAATTTATCTCCTAACTGAAATGCAGATTTTTGGAGCACTGTAATCTAAATATAATTTCCATCTTTTCCAGTCTGACTCGTGTGAGGCTTAGTGTCATTTAGCAATGTATGGTTCAGACCAGTGTGCTTGAGAGCCAAAAAGCAAATGTTTTCGGAGCAGAATCCATGACCGGTATCAGATGAGCAAACGCCAACCAGTGTATCTTTTCCTTATTGGTAGACAACTTTAACATTGTGTCATCTCCGTTCACAATTGTGACAACTCTTATATCCTAATTCCCAATGAATATTACACATTTCAAGATCTGTAGTAAATTTTCTAAAAATAATTAACAAGATCTTAGATGGGTTATCTTATAAATATTCAAATCCCTGTCAACTAAACTATGGTGCATTTGCACTCACACCTGCAACCACATGATGAATTTGTTACCAAGGACCTAATGTATAAATATCTTAAAATGCTCATTTCATACCTATGAAAGCATAGTAAAGCTTCCGTTAATCATGACAAATCAACATTTAAAAATTTCAGGAATAGGACCAAAATTAAGAGAATACAATGACAATGATAAATCAAGAATAAGTTGATGATAGTGAAGTTGACCTGATTTTGCCATCATAGCAGCCAAACCAACCGTCTTCAAGCAAATGGTTTTTCCCCCGGTATTGGGGCCAGTTATGATGACAACTTTAGTATTCCAAGGTATGAATATGTCAAAGGGTACTGGGGGAGTTTGTTTCAGCTTAGAAACCTGCAAGTATCAGGAATAACCTACACCATGACTCAAATAAACATATTGAAGACGGAGATGCTTTAACAAGGTTACTCGAAACCTAAAACAAAGAACCTGCATTTGCAAAGATGATATCTTCAAACTTATTTCCTCTTTCCACAACACATTTCCTCCTTGCTGTTTTCTCCTCCTGAGTTCCTAAAGGCAAACAAAATGAACCATTTATTTTCATATTCACGTGATTTGAACTTAAACCATATAATTAACAGTTAGTTATTAATTTCAAGTGACTGATCCTTGCCATGCCAATGCTCCTAAAATTATCTTAAGAGAGCTCCAAGAATTACTATCTAAAAAAACTTACACCAAGTATCCTTATCCCCTCACCCCCTTTCAGGAAAAATGAAAAATGAGCGAGAAGGAAAAGGAAAAAAAATCTTAAAGTTTCTTCATTTCACTTTACATAACAATAGGACCATAATATTGATGTGTTTTTCTTTCTGAATTATATGGAACTTCAAACTAAATTATATTCTTAGTATATTTAGGGAGCCTACCTCGGATAAGGGAAGAGGGAAAGCGTAGTTTGCTTACTTCTATCCTTGGTTGGGATAGAAAGTCCCCTCTGGTCGGCAACATGAATACATGTACAAGACCAGGTTTTGTTTTGGCCGACAAAAGTATTCTTAAGATTTCTCTTACTTTAAATTTCCCAACTCGAGAAATTAAAACATTTATTTTCCATCTTTCAGATATTAGAGTCTATTTATTCCCTCCGCATGAGCTTTCAAAGATATATTGACCATAAGTTTGCATTCTGTTTGATGAACCTTACATCTACAAAGATCTAATTGGAAGAAGCCTTTCGTAATCTCATTTGACCGCTTCAATTTGACTAAACTCTCGCTCTTCCAACATCTTTTAGAGAGATCACATCACTTTATGACAAGTTATTCCCCAACCACCAAAGTCATCATTTTCCTAATTTATCCTCAATTAGTTTCACCTCTGCTTGCTGGTATATACTCTCATTTTCTATCTTACTCAATCAATCTTGACATTCTCATTTCAGCCACATTCATCTTATATGCATTTCGCCCATTAACGGCTCAATAATTAATACCATAGGCATAGCTTATATAACAGACATTCTATCAAACATGCAATCTAACCTTAAATGTATCTTCCTACTGAATGATCTCATATCATCCAACCCACAAAATCCGATGTGTTAGGTTAAGTTGTATTGACAATTCGTTAGACAAAAGGATTATTATAAAAGAAAAGGATTATCATAAAAGAGTTGTAACTAGAAGTCTTTGGGTTCGAATATGGAACGTGAAAAAAAGTCGTTGGATTTATGTTAGCCTGTCGTCGATCTAATGCTTGAGCATCCAAAACAGAACCAAGGTCACCCACCTGTCGCTCAAGCGAAACACTTTTAGTTCACCTTGCGCTCGAGCAACGGTATTTTTCTAGAAAACTCTAGTTCGCGATTTTCAAAAATTTCTACCTATCCTATATTACCCAATACCTCCATATTATAAATACGCAAGCTCTACTTCGCGAAAAGGGTGGTTGATCATTATTTTCTACCTTCATAACATCTTTTGGAGATCAAACAACAATTCTATATCTTGAAATCAATCAACAAGTTCGAAAAAACATCAAAATCATATAATCCAAAACACCAACTTCCTAAATATAATCAGGAATGTACTTTCTCGATAGCTTTCAAAGATTGCTAAAAATTGAGGGAGGTTGGACCTGAATCGCAGGGAAAGTACAAAAATAAGGCGTTCTTGGTGATCCACAGGATATACACAATTCCAGAAGATCGGGCGCAAGCGTGAGTGAAGCACGTTACCGCGGGTCTTAGAGATTGTAAGAATTAGATCAGCGAGTCTTGTGGGTTTTCTGGGTTATATCATACTGTAAGTTGTTATTGTTTATAGTAGAAGTTACTGGCATAGTCCCGGAATTTTTAATCATGTAAAGGATTTTCTCCATCAACTTATTTACTATTGTGGCAATTCAACATAGGATAAAATTGGCTTGATTGACTAAACATCTAGAACAATTAAAATGTGACATTACTTTTAACGCTGAACTCATAATTTTCACAATGCATTACATCTTCCTCAAATCCTCATTTCTTGGTAATAAATAAATCTAAACATCTTAAATGATCGCTCTTTTGGCCAACAAAATTCCTATAGTGACTCTACTATCATCCATATTCCTACTGTAATTGAATGGGCAATCCATGTATTTAGTCATAGTTCCACATAACCTAAAACCTTTATATTTAAAGTATTCCTGTATAATTCTTACTTAAAAAATTATCCCTCTCCTAGCCTCGTCCAATAACTATGTCTTCAATAAATTGAATATTTTTCACTCGTGATTAAATTGAAAAGAACTATAGCCGCCGGCCCGCCACTACATCTAATGCTCGTGATACTACATCATAGACATCTTTAACAATATTCAATCACAAAAACATACTTTGGATAAGGTTGTTTGTGGGACAACAAAAGGGGGTGTTGTCAAATGTGGAAAGATGCAAGCAAAATCGACAAATGCATACTTTTCAGGTCCATATTCATACATCCATTATAGAATAATAGTGAAATAAAAATGTGCAAATAGATGACAAAAGCTTCAAACCAAGTTGAATGCATGTCTTACAGCGTTAGCATTACTGACATCCTTCATGGCCTCGCGTAAATCGTGACGATGTTGTTGAAGTAACAAAGGATGATAAGCTTTTGGCAAATACAAAGTCCATTTCTCCTGACTATGTTGTGATGTCATTAAAGTTTTGTTGTCTGGCAGTGCATCTGCAGTAAGACCGCTATCCTTATCTTGTGGCAAATATAATTCTGGGCGTGAACCATCAAATAAAAGACTGTATCGTGCTCTAGCATTGATCTGTACTAACAGGAAATAGAAAGACAATTAAGAAATATAAACAAAATCCCAAATCATGTAAACTAAATATCAATATGAGTATTTTAATACACAACCATCTGGTATCTGACCTCCAATCACTCCTTGAAAGACTATGGCGGGTTGGCATTTGAAAGTAACAAGTTAGGCAGAAGAGGTCATGAATTTTTTTAGGCATTAGCTTGCAAAATAAATACACTTATCTTTAAGGAAAAGAAGCGTATAAGACATGGAAGATTTCTGAAGGCTGCCAAAAGCATAATATTCTGTTTCACATAACAATTAGCTTTAGACATCAGCTCTGACCACCATTCCACCTATACAACTAGAGAAACTCTTTATTGCAGCAACATATGTGTGAGTTTGTGTGTGAGTTTTTCATCCACTAACTGGAAATATAACATTTCCCGTGATTATTTAGTCTGTCACAGAAGTAAGCATGAACAGAGTTGTTAATGCATAGAATAGAAGCAGCATCAGAACTAGGCATATGGATCAACTAGTTGCAAGAAAGAAAAAGGGATATTGTTAGTAACCAAAGAGTTAGTCAGGTTGAACGTACCTACCATATCCATTTGAATCATGACATTAAATACATGTTCAATGTCACTGATGTCCTTTTGTACCTACACGAATAGAAAATGAAAAATACCAATTAAATTATAGTTAAAATAGAGAAAATAATATGTTACTTTAACAAATTTGGCAAAACCTTATTTGTTATCTTTAAGAGCACTTCCGACTCTGCCTTTGCCACAGACGCCATGGCTCGTTGCAATTCATCATTCAATGATACAGCAGAAAGAGGCTCTAAAACGCTTCCTCCACCTGAATCACTGGAATAGAGTATTTATTACCTGTTATTCATAAAGAGCAATATTTGCAGAATATGGAAAGACTTCCAGGCAGCAATCAATAATTTGCCTAGATCAATAACAAAAATCACTGAAGATATCAAAGAAATCTAATAGTCATACTGTTGAACAGTGTATGATCATTACTATGGGGATCTGTTCGGTCAGTTCAACAAGAGATTATTGGCAGATAAATGTTACAAAAGATAGGTAACAATTGAAGTTCCATGAAAATAAAAATAAAAAATAAGCAATACACTTGAGATTTTAATTAAATGGTGTGTAAAAGAATATCAAAATTGCACACAATTTCCAATTAGTCTCTTCATGTGCACGAGAGGGTCATGAAAATTCTAAATTTCCTTTGGCTCAATTAGAAATTCCTGACTGGATCATATGTTTTTGTAAATGCATAGTTCGTGCCAGTTTAATATCTTTCTCGTTCATCATATAATTTATTTTGTGATGGAAGTCACACTACTATCACGCATTCATAAACACAAATAAAATAGAAATAAAATAAAATAAAATAAAATCAAGTAGAAACGTTAAGAACAAAGGTATGGACAAAGTCCATCCTGTGTACAAAATAAGATATTTGAAGAATTTGATGCACCTAGAAAGCAATAGTCCCTCAAAACTTGGTCGAATATCAGCCCCTGACTTTATGCACCATCTTCCATCAATATTACTTAATTCCTGAACCAAGAAATAATAATAGTTTAATCAATAACACATCAAATTATAAATGTAAGTACACTTTCTTTTCCATATTTGTACCAGAAAAGAAGCACAGCTTACCAAAATGGATGTTTCTTTCGCTTCATTCCTAATCATACTCTCAAGCAACTGGTATAACTGAATAGAGAAGAGAATACAACAGCAAACAGTCAGAACTTCCAGTTTCTTTGATTGGAGAGAAGCTACAGTGATTCAAGAAGAACTGTGACACTCTCCGATTGGCATAAAAGCTTCATTTAAAAAAAATGATTAACCACTTTTTAGTCTATATAGGATGGAAAACTGGGAGCACTTTGTTAAGCAGCATCAAGGACAGAAATCTGACGAAAAGAAACATACATATCTTTAATATCCCAATTAAACTAATTAAGCCTGGTGACCTACTATGTATGTTTAGTGTGGACTTACTTATCCACTTTTATAGATCCATATTCTATGTTAAGGATCAGCATCTATATGAATCTGACATCTCTAGTTCTCTGCATACAGGGTTTTTACATGAAAAAACTACGCTTGGGAGTAAAGAGAGGAAACCTAAGTTGAGAGACTAAGAGACAGAGTGTTTCAAGGTGGAATCTTGGCATTGAGAAAGGTCTCAAAGGAGCTTTGTCCTCGCATTTTCGGATTGTGCAACAGAGTCCAGAACTCCCAAAAGACCCAGTATAAAACCTCAGAATTCAGATGCCTACTGCTATCGACTAGGTTCTTATTGCTTTCATCAAATGATAATGGGTAAGAGAAATTTTGACAACTATAAGTTATCTGCGTCTTAAAAGAACCTATATAAATAACTTGATCCTAAGAGGTGAAAATCTCAGGTCAAATTCAACAAGTGCTGCCAGAAAACAACAACATAATCAGAAATTTAAACCCCCATGGCCACAAAGAAAAAGGAAACGAGTAATCTACCTTTCTTTCAAGAAACCGGACTTGATCGCGAGCCTGTCTCAAAGTGGAACTCTGAAACATGAAACATATATGGAAGCAATAAGGCAAATATAAATCAAAGTGAAATTTCTGTATCAATGATAGAGTTAAGAGCGAACCGCAGAATCTTTAACAGAACCATCTTCATCTATTAGTTGCTGTATAAACTTGATTAATGATTGACTTACTACCAGTTCCAAAATCTGCAATAAAATTATGAAAAATAAAAATAAAAAATAGTGCCATTACATATACTAAGCACATACCACAACAGATTCCATATGGTGATAAGTACTATATCATACCATTCCAGAAAGCGGCATAAACCGTTGATACCACTCTGAATCTTCCTTAGTTGCGGCTTTGACATTTAACTGCAAGGCTTCTGCGAACTGTAGCAGGGATAAAAGTGCCAGTGCTTCATTCCCACTCATGGGAAAACCACTACCAGCACATTGAATAGCAGTTTTCACCTTCAACAATCACGAAGGAAAATTTAACGAATGTATCATGAATAATTTGTTTCATTATCTTAACCAAATTTAATAGTACAGGACACCGTAAACAATAAATGAAATGAAATTTAACCATCTTCACATCGAAGAAATGGAACATACTAAACTGATATCAATTCCAGAAAAATCCGTCATTGCACCATATTTATGCATTTCCACAGCCGCATCGGTTTCCTTTAATAGTTTCACACTTTCATCAAACGTCTTATTCAAATTCCATAATTGCTCCTGCATGCCATAAATTAATGAAAAGATAAAAATGTTTACCCCGCAGTAATATGTGATTGAATGATACAGTGAGGCTATTGTACTTGCAACTCAAGATTACTTTGAAACGATCCTTGGCAAGACAAGTATGTCTTCAAATAAGTAAAACTTACTTTTGATTAGTTTTTTGTTCTCAAACGTGTTATTTACTTATTTTGATCGCTACCCTTCGAATAAGTAATCTTTTTAAGCCTAGCCAAACATGTCAAAATTTGAGAAGATAATTAAATGAAAACCTTGGCGGCTTGTTTGCCGAGAGAAGTGCCGGCAAAGGAAGCAACGGTGTCGCATAGCTGGTCCCATTCGAGGACTCTGAGGCTGTCCAGAATTACAGATGGCTGGCTATCATTACTTATAGAAGTGTTTCCGGAGCGAGAGACCGCCAGTGTCGATGAGAAGTTTTTGCAGAGGAAAATTCGAGGGGTTACCAATTGGAATTGAATGGATTGATTCGAAGGTGAGGTCGAAATTGTGAGTTTTGAGATGGAAAAGAGGGAAATGGAAGAGGGTGTACATGACAGCATTATGCAGGAAAATGGTGAGATTGAACTCAACTGTGTGAAAGAGAAGATAGGAAGATGAATTGGATAGACAGGCAGCACTCAGCAGTCCTTTTTCTTTTGATATTTATTACAGGGAGTAGTCATTTCCTCGGTTTTTATATATTAATGGGGGATTTACAAAAATAGTCCATTTCTTGAAAAATGTCTAATTTTAATAATTTTTGTAAAAATGACCAAATTTGATACTAAATTATCTATTATGGAGGTGCTACAAGTACATCGGGGTGTACATAAGGGTGTCCATAATGGATACCGGCACCTTCCCATTGGATGAAGTGCATGTAGGGTCGGCACTTCATCCAATGGGGAGGTGTCGGGTGTCCATTATGGACACCATTATATACCCTCTAATGTATAAGTAGCATTTTCCTATCTATTATACCTTCAATGAAATATGAAGCAATTTTTCAATTTATCACGAATTTCGAGAAGGAAGAGTAGCTCCCATTAGAAGCTACATTAATGGAAATGTTATTCATCCCAAATGGGGTTACGAACACAGTTTAAATGACTTTGAATGATGGGTTAAATGAAAATGTGAAATTAAATAAGTACCATCATTTAATGCCACATTAACGTCACCTAAACTGTATTTGTAATCTCAGTGGAGGTAAATAGCATTACTCAATACCTGATGAATTCATTTGTTTTTATTATCTGGTATTGATCAAGAATTTTGGGGGAAAATATGAAGAAGATGAAGGCAAAAAATCATTAACACTAAAAAATAAATATATTCTTTTAATTCATAAGAAATTCATATAATTTCATTTTGAAAAATTTAATCTCATCCAAATTTGCAATTGATTAGGCGTGTGTCTGGGGGAGCTATCTTCCATGGTTAATCGATTATTTTACCGTTTGAGTTACTGCAAAATGGAGCCCACTGCACCAGAAAATCTGACATTAATAATGTGAATTACCAAAGAAGCCCATGTGTCATGAAACATGAATTAAATATTAATGGCAAAAATGTAATTTTGTCTTCAACTAGTCAAATACTGCGGCTGGAAATCAGATTCACTTGGAAATTTTTGAAAAGCAACGGAACAAATTTCACTTTTCAACGGTTGGAATTTCAATTTGAAGCGCACCCAAACACACCCTAGATTTTTCACAATTATAGGTAAAATGTAATTTTTCTTTGAAATCTTGTTTTTATTGATAAATTGTGTTCAATAGTTGTTATTCTTGACATTTCATAACCTTCTTAGACATTTTAAAAGTCATTATCACATTTTAATAGTTGTATTTAATAGTTGTTATTCTCGACACTCGACATTTCATTTGTTTAAAATGAGATTTCCTTCCGAACATGAGAGTTCTTTACATTTAATAATATTCTTGACGTTTCGCCGTTTCGGGTGTATTTCTCGGCATTTCATAACTGTTTTATTTACCTACTTATAAGGAGAAGTGAGCATTTAATGCATGATTGATGTGGTGCTTTTTAAAATAAGTAGTATATGTTATGTGTCGAGTTATTATTGGTCAATACAATTTTTAATTATATAAATAATTTTGTCTTCATTGTGAAATTTAAAATTGTTAATGAGAGCATTTTTTGTCTATATCATAATAAAATGGACATTGAAGAAATTTCGGACATTTTTGCAAATGACTGTGTAAAATTAGACATTTTTTTGCAATATCCTCTATATTTATTTACCTTTTAAGAGAATTTATATTACATTTTTAACCTCAAGTAAATTTACTTAAATAGACGAAAATAAAATAAAATAAAATATATCATTCTAAATCTATCAACTTCAAAGGATGGCCATCACTTTATACATCTATACATTCACTCCAAGATTTAAGGCTATAATCTGCAAAGAAAATGTTATTTTAACGGTGATGATGTCTCATGTCCACCAAAGCTACAACTTCCATTGGCTCTTCGAATTCCAATGCTAAGAGAAATGTTATTCATCCCCAGTGAAGATGTATCCACAGTCTATATAGCGTTAATGTGACATTAAATGATAGGTGAAATTAGATAAGTCATGTAATTTCACATATCATTTACATCCACATAGATTGGGGATGAATCCCCATTGGGGATGAATAGCATTTTTCTTTCAGCAATGGAGAAAATTGTTGAGGCATGAGGAAATTTTGAGAACATAAACTTTCTCATCATACCATCAACGTGTATTCATATTACCATTGCTATCACAAGTCTCGATTGCATAACAAAATCTTTAACCTTAAGTAAAGACTAATTTAATCATCCATTGCTTTTTCAACATTTTCAGCTTTATCCACCCACTAAATTATTATTCAACGATAATATAGCAATTTTTTTTATGGACCCACAAAATATTTCGTAAAATTTTGAATCTTTTCTCGCGTTTGAACTTTTACGAAAAGCCACGAAATCATAAAATTGCAACTTTCGGATTTTTTTTCACTCTAAAATAGTGGATTTTCTGCTAAAAATATCTCTTTGTACTTAACTCATCTGAAGATGGTATGCAACTTTAATGTGATTATTTCTTTTGTTTTTTAAAATTTTGTATTTCCATTCAATGCATTTTTTTTGTTATTATTATCAAGATTATCTTTTAGAACTTCCCAGAAAAATTAGAACCAGACAGGCACTTTTGTTAACTGTAACAAAATTGTGATTTTTATAAAATAATTATTTAGTGAAAAACGATGACAGCTCATGAGCTTGGTTTTTTGTCTTCATCATGATTTCTAGTTTGTCCATGTGTAGTTCAGTATATTACAATTTGCCCATTTTTGTCTCAACGTATGATAGCTTCCAGATAACTTGTAAATTATTGAGACACGAAATTTTGAGGCAGAAAATGAGAATATTTGTATTGGAATTTGGTGTTGATGTATAGTTTTAAATGAATGAATATAATAAAGTTAATATTGAAATAAAAGTGGGTGAATATAGTACTTTTTTATAAAATCTAAAATTTTAATTTGCATAAACTTAGAGTGTGATAGATATATAAAAATGGTGAATGAAAATAGCAATACCCTTATTATCATCATCATCATTGTCTAATTATTATTATTATTATTTTTTTTGAATTCTTATTCTTGTTTTTGGTAGTTGTAAGAATGGCAACGGTGGGGCGGAAAAACCATTCTCATGTCCCGTCTTGTCCATACTGAGTTAAGGTAAGGCGGGAAGGGAAGGGACGGGACATGTCACTGTCTCTTGTTTACTGTCCTATTTATTTTTTAAAATTTTTTTGTATTTTTGCTTTTATATTTTTAAATATTTTTAGTTCATGAAAATCAATAAATTTTTTCCAAATTCTAGAAAAACTAGGGGCTGCATTCTTTGTATTTCAGTTTTTAGTTTTGAATTCATTTTGAATTTTGTATTTTGAGTGTTCATTTTGAGATTGATGAAGACGCGTTCTTTTTGTCATTTTGAAAATTTGTTTTCAAAAATATAAAAAATGAAGTCTTGGTTTGATTTTAACTGAAAACAGCCAAAGCCAAAACGACTTTTTTGTCGTTTTTTGTTTTCTTTGTAAATTTTAAACTTATTTCTGAAAATATGTCAGTAAACGTGTTTTCTGTATTTTCGAAAGCTAAAAATAGTTTGAAAACAGTAAAGAGAATAGACCATTAACGTTTCCTCTAAAAACGATAGCGATTCTTTTATTTTTGTGTGATTAAAATTTATATTTTAAAATGAATTTTAAATGGAATGGGTAACGAACAGGGACCATGTTTCCCGTGAATATCAGGTATAATGGATTTTATTTTTTTGCCATCCCTTTGTTTGTGAATTTAGAATGTAATTGACGGGTAGGAAAAATGAATGAAATAGAGATAATAGAAGGGAAAAATAGAAAATAACCCAACCAACCTATTCAAATTGGACGAGTTGAGACCTAATAGCGGCAGACGAGGTAGGAGGACTAAAAGTGTTAGATGCATTTGACAAAAAAAATTTGACAATGTAAACACTAATTATTAGGTGTCCATTTAAAATATTCCCTCTTCCCACATAAAATCGTAGAAATCTTCAAGTTTGTTAGGAAAAGAGTTCAAATATTATTTTAATCGCCCAACTTCTAGCATTATTTTACTTTTGACTAACGAATTATTATTTTTATTTCAACATAGACCCTCCGACACCTTCATGTGTTAACAAAAATGTTGGGGGTAAATTTCATCTGAGGTCACTGAACTTTTAGCAAAATTTCAATTGAACCACTTATTTATAATTTGTCTTAATTATATCATTAATTGAATTTAGTTTTTAAGTCTATCCACTCTGCTACATGTCATCTCGTACACTAATGAAAAAATTATTTAATTGACAATCATAATACAATAGTTCTTCTACATATCAATGTCATAATTAGGGATGGCAACAGAATGAGTATAGGACGAGTCAGTCATTTCTGTCCCCCACTCCATCTGCTATTTTTGTCATATTGTTCCGCCAACATACTCTGTTAAAGAGTGACGGGGCGGATTGAGGTTAGGGCAGTTTATTTTTTTATTTTTTACTTTCACTTTTTTATGTCTTTATTAGTGAATGTTATTACTTTTTTTTTTCGATTTGTTAAGAACAACTCATGTTCTATTTAAAAATGATAATAAATCTTTATTTTTATTTGATAAAAAAATTAAATTTGAAACTTTAAACGTGACGGATAACTTGATGAAGATTATGTTTCCCGTACCCACTTTGAGGCAACAATCCTCGCCCCATTTACCTGATTTGGTGGGTAATTCGCATCCCATTCAAAGTGGGGCCTCGTAGGTATCGAGTTGAACGAGTTTTTTTGTTATCCCCGACTTATAACTTTCTTTTTAAATTTTTCTCCTCTTTGGAGCGTCATTTTATTACATAGAATATCGTTATAACATGACTATCAACTAACAATTTCTATTGGTTTGGAGGATGATGGTAACAAAATGTTACAAGCGATAACTTGAAATTAAATTGAAGTTCAGCGATTCATTTGAAAAAAATTAAAGTTTAATGACATAAAATTCACGATAAACACTAGTTAATTTTATTTTTATTATTGAAAAACAACAAGGAACAAAAAATGGAGAAGACGTGTGATTGAAAATTAAAAAGAGAAACATATCTTTTGAATAAAATGGAGTCCAAATAGGGGCAAAAATATCCATTCCATGGTTTTCATTAGCGTGGACCAAGTTATTTTGTTCTCCTATTCATGTAAAGGTCTTCCCATGATTTCTAATACAAACAAACTCGCTATAGATATTTCAATCAAGACTACCTAAGAATGGTAGACTTGTGCATACCATTGACAAATGAATTATTCTACACGTATATTAGGTATACATAATGTCCAAGTGGCATTTCATCATTGGTTATCATCTTGGCATTATGTTTTTTTTCTACCAGCCACTTGGACACTATGTACACCAACGTGTAAATCATGATGTACATGTAACAAAACTCTTGACAAAGAGCCTATAAAATGTCAAATTGAGTCATCTCAAGATCGCACCAGCTATTCCCCTTCGTACTTATCAACCGCCATTTGAGGCTGCCGTTGTAGTAGTGGTCATGAAAATTTCACAATTGTGGTCGAGGGAAGGAATTGTCAACAATCTATGATAAAGGTTTAATCGTCTCAAGGTGAGAATCTATATCAAAAGGGAAAAAATGACAATAGCCGGCATGTAAGAAAACTAAGCAAATAAACATTGTAGTGCCCTCGGGTTCATTTTTGTTATTACGTTGCGTAGATATATAAGACTAACTAAAAAGGCAGAAAAATGGATAGAAGAAAATTTTGAACGGTTTGAAATACAAGTATCGAATATACTAGCAAAACCAATCATCTCATTACCTACTTTAAAAATTTATCACAAGTGTAATTCGGCAAAATTAATTTTAAGTAATGCTTCTACATGTGAAGTGTTTTTTTTTTTTGAAAAATGCTATTCATCCCNAAATAATATTTTCCATCACATCAATACTTTTTTCTTCTTTTTCAATCACATATTTCCCATAATATCACTATTCAAAAATCAATTCTTCCCCCAAAAATCCCTACCAAACACACTCCAAGAAAATACTTGTTCACTTTTATTTTATATTGTATACATTTATTATGCAAGGAATAATACAAAAATGATATATACTCGTTGCTGAAGAATTTAAGACTTTTGAGGTAAGGATTTTTATCGTTCCAAGACCGGTAATACGAGATCTTATCTCTCCCCGATTATAGCACGAGTTTGTTATCTTATTTTTCTCCACAAACTCTAGGGATGGAATGTACACCCTTTGATTTTTCTTTGAACTTTGATGATCTAATATGATAGAATTCAATTATTTATTGAGTAACGTAAACATCACGTAATTGGTATAAACAAGTCGTCTTTAAATTTGTCTCTATGATAATCATAAGTAGTGTAGCATGTTAGGAATGACATAAAAAAAAGTAGAAAGTATACAAGAATAAATCCCAGAATTTCCCTACCATAAGAAATATTCGAAGTCGAATATTTTGGAAAAAAAATAAAAAGAGTGCCGTGTGGCAACCACAAATAAAAAACAAAGTAAAGAACATGGACGACAATATGATGTTGGGACCCATTTCTCCAATCTTATTGGTCATTTCTAACAAACCTAACCATCTAACCTTTTAGCATTTGCCATAGTAAATAAACCAACGGATACGGAATAATCTAGATGGCTTGTTCAATCAGTAATCGTACATTTGAAATTGAAAGTGATTTTTGCAGAATCATTTTTCCCGTTCATTCTCAATTATGCATTCTATTTTTACCTACTTTTTAACCTTTTTTTTAAAAAAATGATTTTTCACTTGATTATTCTAATTTAGTCGAGCGTATTATATTGATATAAAACGGCTGTGTGATGGTGATAAAAAGTTGGTAAGGCTCATAAAATATATGGTGAATAAGTGGATAAAATTTGTAAATTCAATGACGTTTGATGAAAATTGAAGTTCGATCAACATTTTAAAGTAGAATATTTACCAAACAAGCATAACATATGTTAGATGCAAATTCCAGTCGTTTCACCTTTTTAATATTTTAGAATACTATTGAGTCTATCTTACTACTTGCCCACAATTTCGGAAAAAAAAAATTAATAAATAAAATAAAAATCTATCTGGGTCCGAAAGCCAATTGCTTGATGCCCTCTAACCCCTTTCTCCACATTCACATTGCATTCCAACTGAATAATTCTATTAATCTTCGTTAGAAATTAATATTAAATTTTTATTTTTATTTTCTCTAACTAAATTGACCCATTTTCTCCATTATTGAAATTTAAAAGGGAACGTGGAATTAATTGGAATTGTTAAAAGTTATTCTGAATTTCTTTCTCTAAAAAAAAAAAAAGGCAAAAACCTATTTACAAGTATCATAAATTTCATCATCATCTTCCGCTGCAACGGCACAAGTGGATCAACAACCAATAAAGAAAGGAATACATAAAGTAATTAATAACCACTAATTCAAAAGAGGAAAAAAAAAACATCAAATTTGAATCACCTAATAGTAAAATGCATAAATTTCAAGCCTTGAAGCACAAAAACTGGTGGTGGTGGTGGTGGTGGGATTTCTCTTTATTGATCATATCCTGAACATGGCGAAACTCTTCAACATTGCAGGGAATATTAATTGGACCTTTTTGATCAAATCCATATTCATTTTCAGCCACTTTAAGCAACTCCGTGAAGAGCGGATGGTTGATATAGATCACCGGTACAATGAACCGCTGCTGCTCCTCCCCTTGCCCCACCGTTATCGCCACGCAACCCTTGGGTATATCCTTCTTCCCCTGGTGGTGGTGGTGGAAATGAATCAACGGCATGTTCAGATGGAAATTCAGATTACTCTTATCTCCACTACCCATCTCAAGATCAAAAAATACACAGTAAAACAAGAAAGCCCTGGATTTTTTCTTGCAGAAATGGATAGATCTAAAATACGTTACAAGAAAACAAGAGAAAAAGGCCAAGGATCTGATGCCGAAATGGCAAGTTTAAAGAGTGAAAGGGAAGAATTTGTTAAGGATGTTGGAATATTGCTCATGATATATTATTGTATAATCCGAAACTGTAAAACATATGAACGATTTGTTTGAAGAGATTGAGACGAATTTAGGGAATCCAGATGCCTATATATATACACACACGCGAAGTGGGGAATCCTTGCAGCTGTATTATGACTTTTGCGTTTCTTACTTTATACGCTAAGGTATTTTCTGGAGAGAGAGCTGAGCTGAGCTGAAATAGTCGTAGATTACTTGAAGGCTCCTTCCACAAGATTGTTATGTGATGGTTATGAAATGAAGGGACTCTTTGACCAAGTTAAAGGCCAAATAAATTAGAAAAATATTTTTAGTTAAGGACCAAGTTTTGAGGGGATCTAATGGATGGGGTCAATATTACAAGACTAGTTTCAATTTTAATATTTTTTATTTATTACTAAAAAACCTGACAAACATTTCTAAATGGACAAGTTGCACTAGTGGAACCCGTCCAATTTTCAGTTAGCCCTCGTTTAAGCCCCATTTTGATAAGAAAATATATTTTGAAACAATGAATTTTTATAATATGTCTCACTCCAAATTTGTACATAGTGGTTTGCGTTAAGAGTTAAAGCCAAGTGCCACACAATTCGACATTAGAAGGTTATGAGGTGGTTAAATAGATTCTTGGCTGCATTAAAATATGTTTTTCGAGAAAAATATATTTTGAAATAGTGATTTTTTTTGAAGAATATGTAGTTAATAAAGAAGGAAAATTTTAGGTTTACGTGTAATATTATTTTATTGAAAGATGTGTGGTTCAAAATATGAGAGAAAAAATGCATTTTGATAAAATGAAGCCCAAAAAGTAGCAAAATGATTTGCTAGGGGGAAGACCGGCTTACTATTCGGATATTAAGTTGAGGAATTAAGCCTCGCATACAGGCTTAATTGATGGAATCCATAAGGTTAGCACCCTGTTTGTCTGCGTTTATCTTTTCTCATCTTGCAATGAACATTCTCCAAGTGTTAACTTCTATACTTGTAGTATGATTGTAGGTTGAGACCAATTGTAGATTTTGGCTTTCAAAATATCTAAATTTCTATTTTCACCCTCTAAAATTGAATAATATTATTGATCTTTGTGGGTAAATTAATAATTTCTTATTAGTAATTAGTTGGCTAATTGACGCAAAAGGTTCATATACACTTCCTTCATTGACAAATCATCAATATATTTTCACTTTTGATATTTGGGACTTCAAATTGATCATTCTTTATGCAAATCACACCAACCATCTCATTGTTCCGTTAAATGGTTGCATGCGGTCCACTCGCGAGATTTGCCAATAGTAATTTGGTCGAGACACTATTGCTCATCTTTTCATAAAAAAATTGAGGTCAGACATGCTAAAGCAAATTTTGAAACTTGCAACTCAACACAAATCTCGAGTTCTAAGTAAAATCTTAGTATGTCTGGTAAAAAATTTCAAACCAATTACAATGGTTTTTTTTACCGTTACCCAGCAAAGCAGCGGTCATATTTGACTGCTCCTCTCTAATGTGGTCCCCACTTCTTGATTGTAACGGTCATTTTTTGATTAAAAATTTGATGAAAATTTTTACCAGACAAGCAGTAAATTTGTTATGACGAGCTAGCATATCAAATCTCGAGTTTGCTATTCAAAAGTTAAGTGTGTCGGCCAAATATTGAGTTTGCTAGGCTGTCTAAACTTCAAATGTGCATAATTTTTTTTATCCACAACCCGAATTGTACTTCATTTTTCGTGTTGAACTCTAAATTCAATTATATTTCCAATGATATATTACTTTCCCTCTAAAGATGGGTGATAGAAGTTGTTCAAAGCATGTGAGGGAATTAGTACACAAACTTTGTCACACATATCTCCACGATATATAATATATCATTGGATATACTAATGTGTTTAAAATCGAACGCAAAAAATATAGTACAATTCGAAATTGTTAATCAATGATTATGCACATTTAAAGTTAGATAGTTGAGAAAACTCGAATTATAGTATACTCGAACTTTTATATAGAAAACTCGAGATTTGCCCCATAAATTCAAGGGTTGTCTAGTAAACTCGAGACTTCTATCAGAGATTCTAAGCTTGACATACTAACTTGTCTGGATAAGTTCGAGACAGGACAAGATCTCGATTTTCGTGTTTAGTTGCAAATTTCAATTTTTGTTTCAGCATGTCAAACTTTGAAATTTTAGAAAAAGATGCCAATTAATGTCTTGACCAAATCACCGTTACGAAAATCACACGAGTGAACTACACTATCATTAGATGTAGCAAATGGACAAAAAGGAATGGTAGAGGTGATTTGTCCATAGGATGATCGATCTGAATTTTCAAATGCTAAAAGTTAAACGATAAAGATGATTTATACAATGAAAACAAAACAACGATATTTTGTAGAAATAGCAACGAGACGAGTATAGAACGTGTCGACCATTTTCACCCCCGTCACTTTGAGTATTTTTATCACTTTGCCTCGTCCCCATAATCAGTTAAAGTGGGTCGGGGTGGGGGATTTTTTTCTTTTTATTATTATTTTTATTTTTTGCTTTTATATTTTATATATTTAGTTAGTAAATATTTTTTTTTTCAATTTGTTAAAAACAACTTATGTTCTCTTTAGAAATGATAGTAAATATTTTATTTTGTTTGATAAAAAGTTTAAATTTGAAATTAACTTTAAACGGGCAGGTAGTTGGGCAGTGAGTATGTTTCCCGTATCCGCTTCGGAGCAATGACCCTCGCCCAACCCAACCCAACCCAATTTATCTGGTTAGGCGGGTAATCTCCGCCTCATTCGGGACTGGGCCCCAAAGGAATTGAGTTGAACGGATTTTTTTGTCATCCCTAATATTTTGTACCCATTACACTCGTAAATTTCCATGGTGAAAATTATGCTACGATACAATCTTTACGAAGCACTTAACGAAAATGATTAAGCCCCCGTTTGATCTACATTATTATCTTATTAAAATGAAAAATATGACCGTTATCCATCATATCAATATTTAAATTCAAATTTTCTATCTCTTGTGTGGACCCTAATAACGACTACATTTTTCATTTTCATTCTATAATAATTTGGCTCGAACATGACCTAAAGATATGAAATACATTTGTAGCCTTTATATAAAGTTGTCAGATGCAACAGCAAAGAGGTAATTGTCAATAATAGCACATTACAATCTTGTTACATGTACATCAAATTAATATCAAATTTAATATTATTGTGACGTGACAAGTTTACAATACTCCATTTACTCAACACGGGGAAAAAAAAATTTCCTTTTAAAATCGAGGGTAATATTGTTTTAACCCAAATTTTCCCTTAACACATTATGCAGCAGGTAGGATCTCCCAAAAGCATTTCAAAAGCATTTCAAAAGCATTTCAAAGGCATTGCAAATGTCAAAAATAGGAACACAAACTTAGCTACTAGGAACAGAAATACATTGAGGAGATCCAGGTTGAAGTTTATTAAAATAAAACCTTCTGATTAGTAATCCAATTACACTGTCTCCATTAAGAAATCACCCAAGTCTCAGTTTGTTTTCAAAAATGAATGGTGAAAATAAGGGTGAAATTGCCAAAAAAGAATGGTAGAGACGGTTTGCACAAAAATATTGAAAGGTAGAAACGTCTTGTGCTAATAACCTAAAAGTTAAAAACCTTTAGCAATTGTTTGTTGTAGATTAAAATAAATTAAAATTTTAAGTCAAAATTGATAATTAATTTTAACAACACATTTCACGGAACTTACAACTTTTCAACCATTCATTGTATCGAGTGTTATTTATATTTACTAAAATGATTTTAATCTACTTCAAACATGAGCACAATTATATTGTGATGTGTTTATAGACGATAATTTCAACCTACATAACATAATAGATTAAAAGTAGCTTTGACCTTGCTTTTACAACTAATTCGGCCCGCAACTTGCGCTCCTGATGGGCCCGAGGCCGCCTAAACTATGGCAAATTTTGTGGCGTAACCATTTCCCGTTACGAAAATGTAAGAATCACGTGATCTTCAATCATGACCGTACCATTTCACAATTGTTTTTTTTTTTTTTAATGCTAAAAGTTAAACGATAAAGATAGTAAATATTTTATTTTGTTTGATAAAAAGTTTAAATTTGAAATTAACTTTAAACGGGCAGGTAGTGGGGCAGGGAGTATGTTTCCCGTATCCACTTCGGGGCAATGACCCTCGCCCAGCCCAACCCAATTTATCTGGTTAGGCAGGTAATCTCCGCCTCATTCGGGACTGGGCCCCCAAAGGAATTGAGTTGAACGGATTTTTTTGTCATTCCTAATATTTTGTAACCATTACACTCGTAAATTCCCATGGTGAAAATTATGCTACGATACAATCTTTACGAAGCACTTAACGAAAATGATAAGCCCCAGTTTGATCTACATTATTATCTTATTAAAATAAAAAATATGACCGTTATCCATCATATTAACATTTAAATTCAAATTTTCTATCTCTTGTGTGGACCCTAATAACGACTACATTTTTCATTTTCATTCTATAATAATTTGGCTCGAACATGGGCTAAAGATATGAAATACATTTGTAGCCTTTATATAAAGTTGTCATATGCAACAGCAAAGAGGTAATTGTCAATAATAGCACATTACAATCTTGTTACATGTACATCAAATTAATATCAAATTTGATATTATTGTGACGTGACAATTTTACAATACTCCATTTACTCAACACGGGAGAAAAAAAAAATTTCCTTTTAAAATCGAGGGTAATATTGTTTTAACCCAAATTTTCCCTTAACACATTATGCAGCAGGTAGGATCTCCCAAAACC